TTGGAAGAGTAGCCAGGGTTCAAGGAGGCCAGTGAGGTGAAGGGAAAAGGAACAAGGGGAAAGTGGTTCAAAGTGGGCTCTGTGAGAAGGCAGGAGGAAGCCCAGCTCATTCTGGGGCTCCCCAGCTTGCCTCCCTCCCTTCTCTCAGCATTTAGAAGCACCTCTGTGGCTCAAGCTGCAGACACTGTCAGTGATAAAACACTGTGTTCCAGTTCCTGAACCAGGGCAAAAGGTCAGGGCCCAACTGGCAGCAGGGTAGACAAAGCTGCCATCAACAGAATTGGACTGGGGTCTTAAATCCCTATCTTCAGACACTATCAGTCTTGAAGCCAGTTGGGCTCAAGGCCTACTGATGGATCTCCCCACTGAGGGCAAAAGAAGCTACAGAGAAGATACTGGGGCTCCCAGATATATTGAACTGAAAGATATACAACTGTTGTAGGAAATACTTGTACAAGATTCAAAATGTAACAGAATAAAATGCACCCTAGATTTCTAAGCTGCTGAATATTTGAGGTATCACTATTCAACTTCTTCATTTGCCATACAAAACTCAAGAGAAGTGATTTCTCAAAGCAACAGAGGGTAGGAGAAACAGTTCTCTAGCCTACCTGGACAGTGCACTTTCTAGTCTATCACTACATTTGTTTTTTTTTACTTTCACCAAAAGTTTCAGAATAAGGTCATAGAGAGCAGAAAGCACTATTTTAAGTTATGTTGTAAGTTCACTGTTTACTAAATGAGAAATAGAAATTGTGCTGACTCAGAGAACAAGAATTTCAGAGCCAGAGTTCAATTCCTATAGGATTGGTTATATCAGGAAGAGATTCCTGGAGGTGCAAGCAGTAACAGGTACTACTGGAAATGTAAGGAATACAGGAGAAAGGCCCCAAATAGTCCAATCTTGTATCTTTGGCTGGTGAAAGCTAGAGTGGAAAGAAAAGCTTTTAACATCAAGATAGAGACATGTGTACCCTAACTTTTAATCAATACTAACCTTGAGTAAGATGTAACACTGAAAGCAGATTATTGAACTTCAGTGTAACATTAATGTGGGTTCTGTCAAAATGAGATTTTGTTTAAAAGAAAAAGTGAATAATTAGGAATAAAAAGCTTATAGAAGTTCAGAAACAATATTTAACCAAACTTTTGAAATAAATCTCTAGAGAAAAAATATTACTAAGAACATGCAATAATTAAAATTTTTTAAATGATTAATTCAATTTGTGGGAAAGAATCCATAGGCTTAGAATTAAAAGACCATTGCTCAGTCACATTTCAAAGTCTTTACCTTGCAGAAGATCTTAAATTTTGGACCCAGCAAAGTAAAATTCTGCCCCTTGAAAAACAATTAAGAATTCAAGTTCATAGCGCCAGCTTCTCCCAAGGAAAGTTTCTATCAATTTGTGATTTGGCCTTAAATTTGACCTGTGGTCTTCATGTCATGATAATTTGGGTTATTTTGAGTATTCCATCTCTTGAAGAAGGGCCTTTGCTAATTTTAAATGAATTCAGCTGCTGATTCACTATTCATCTATTTACATCACAGTATGTGGGAATAAATTCATAATTAATAAAACATTTCCAGTAAGCAGTCAGACTGAGTAATTGAAGGACATCTAGTAAGTTTAAAAAGAGACATTTCATTTTTGTTTTATTGGACATGAAAAAGGAAAGGTTTTTTTTAGGTCTTTGATAGAGGCTAGAATTGTTCCCTGGGCTATAGCATCTTAAAAAGCTATGTAGCCTCAAATTGGAGTTTAGTTTAAAAAAAAAAGAAATTAGAAAAAAATGAATTTAAAAAAGAGAAAAAATATATAAAACTTTGTACCAGGCCTATGAAAATTTTCTTCCTTCTTTCCTTCCTTTCTGCCTTTCATTCTTTCTTTCCCAACCCCACCATTCTCTCTCTCTCTCTTTTTTTCTTTTACCCTTCCTTTCTGCCTTTCTTTTTTTTTTCTCTTGGGATCAATGAAAACGAATACTTCTCGAGTTTGATTTATGGGGAGAGCTTGCATTTGATATTAAAACCTTTGATGGTTAAGCACCTTAGGGCCTTCATTCCACCTTGTATCTGACACTGCATTAATATATATGATAATATATTGTCCAGATTTAGGGAAACAGGTCTATTGAGGAGTAGAGCAGGAAAGTACAGTCTGGAAGCTTTCTCATAGGAGAAAAAAGTGAAGGCACTTGAGAGAGATGGAACTGAGGGAGCTGGAGGAGGAGGTAGGGTAGTCTCAGGTAGGTTTTTGAGCTTGCTGTTTTCACTGTGTATAATGTTCCCTCACCTATTCTCCACCTGTTGAAATTCTAATTCTCAAAGCCAGAGTGGATAATCACGTATGGTGACAAGTTTCTAGATCCTTTTAGAAGCTCTCCCTACTCTAACCCCCAAAGTGCTTGCTGCTACTTCTATTACAATACTAGTGATAGTCCAATTTACCTTAAATCTGGTTAGTCAGGGCCTTGAATGTCACACTAAGGGGTTTAAAGGAGCCATGAAACGTCTGAGGACAGCTACGATTTAAGATATCCAAGCATTTCTGGTACAAAAAGAAGGAAAAGGATGCATGAAACTACCTTCTCTTTCACCCTCTCTCTCTAGCATACTACTGTGTACCACGTAGCATGCATGGTGACCCCACTTTATAAATCTGTGAGCCAGATTTCCGACAAGTCGTGAAGAGCCTCCAAGTCCTCACAACCCTCTTTACCCCCTTTTATCTGAGGGTTATTGCTCCACTGAAATCTTACTTTGAAGGCTCAACATTGACCCGATATGGCCACTTCTAGGGACTTCTCCCCTCTCTCAGCAATTTTGGGTCCACAATCTTCCCGAAACATTTTCTTCTCACAACCCAGTAACTGATTCCGTTTCTCTCCCTTACTGTTAAAATTTGGAAGGTATTTATTAAATATATAAGGTTGAAACGAAGCTTAGTTAAGTGTGGCTATCTCTTGGTGGAGGCTTTAAGAGATTCTGAAAGGTATTTTCGCGAGCTTTAGACTTGAAACGGCGGGTGTTAAAGCCTGCATGTTTTTTTAACAGCTTTATTCCCATGCATGCACGCCAGAGCTGGGGGGTAACATTTCTGGCATTTGTGTATAAAGGAAATCAAGAAAGGGTGCGAGGCTCGCTTCTTTTTTGACTTAAGGGCCAGAGTGAGGGGCCGGGCGGATTAAGCGCGCCTCCATTCCAGCTAGGGCCCAGAAG